CGGGCCACATGTCTTCTAGGTTTTTTTTGGGGGGGGGAGGGAGCCTTTTTTCTCTGCAAGGAGAAGGAGGCGCCTGAGGAGGCCAAGGCCAAGCCTTGTAGCGCCAAGCGCGGCGCGTCTCCGCAAGGGGGCGCATGCTCTCCCTCTCCATGCTCCCTGGCCCTGCGGAGGAGGCGAAGGACGGGAAGGCGAAGGCGAAGGCGAAGCCGGCCCCGGCGCCGGAAGCCGACCTTCTGGATATGTCAGCACCAGGCAGATGGCCGGAGCACGGGAGAGAGAGGGAGAGCTGTGTACACTGCTGTGGCTAAGGTGTGTAAGACCCTCTAAGATGGTGTAAGCTGAGGAGTGTACTGGACTCCGTGCTCCAGTGTTTAGGTTTCATTTTCCGCTTCGGACGACCTGTTTACCACTTCCCTTGCCTTGCATCCCCCAGCTTCCCAGAAGTGCAAGTCAAAAGAAGTTGAGTGTTCCATCGCTGAAGTTGCGACGCTCTGTTGCAGTCGCCACCGTTCCCTCGGCCGCCGCTTCAGCCGCGCCCGGCGCAACGCCTGCGGCGGCTCTGGATTTGCTGGGCGAGCTCCAGGAGAGCCCGGCGCCTGCGCCCGCGGCGCCTGCGGCGCCCGCGGCGGCCTCGGCCAGCACGGCGAGCGCGACGGCGGGGGCCTCCGCGGCCTCTGCGGCCTCGGGCACGGCCACGGCAGTGTCGCCGCTGTCGCCCTCGGCAGCACTGGCCTTGGCCTTGTCCTCTGCTCCGATGGCCCCGACGGCGACGCTGCCGCAGGAGATGGGCGACTTCTTGCGACCTCTCTGCTCTCTTGCTTAGTCTTGCTTTCTCTTGCAGCCTGCATGCAGGACTTGGACCTGCTCGCGGCGCCCAGCGCGGCTCCTGCGCCAGCCAGGCAGCGAGAGGAGTTCCAAGCGGCACCGAGCATGCGAGCATATCCCATAGCCGAGAAGAGAAAGCTTGTCTGGTTTCTTCGCAGTAAAAACCAGACGCTGTACCGGCCTCCTTTCCTTTCCTGGCTGCGAAGTTTGGTTGCTCTTGAAAGGCCTGCTTCTGGGCTTCCTTTTGCCGGCCTGGGGGTCAGCGCCGCCCCTGCCGCCCCTGCCGCCCCTCCGACAGGCCGCCCCTTTTTTTCTCCCAAAGCCTCAAAAGAGTCGCTGCTTTTTGCGTCTGAGGGATGGGTCTCCCTGGCCTCGGCAACGCGAACGCCAAGGACGGCTCTCATACGAAGAGCTCTCTCTCAGTCTCTGCTCTCAGAAGCCTGGCTAAGGCAGCTCCCCGAGTGCCCCCGCCTTTTGCCAGTCGAGGCGCGCCATGCCAGTCGGAGGGCTCTGTTCTTTTTTCGCTGTCTTCTGGGCCCAGGCAAGGTGGGCCATCCCTACATGTGGCCTGGCCTGCTCAGGGCGAAGCCTCGAAGGTTCCCTGTCTTTGCCCTCTCAGGCCGATCCCTGCGTCCCTAGACAGTCCTTCCCAGCCGTCCTGGGCTCAGACATCGAGCTCGACGCTGACGCTCGCTCCGGACCGGAAGTCTGAAATAACCAAGGCCCCCAGTGGATCAATTTGCTTTCGTTTCCGACATCACGGGCATTGGTGACCTGGCAAAGCCGGCAAAGCCTGGTCCTTGGGGGACCGGCCGCGACCGCTTTTTCGCGACCGTATAGCTGTTACCCAGCTTGTGACTCACAATTCTCTGTCATTTTTTCCATGATTCTTCTGATGTTGTTCATCACTTTGAATCATATAGATCCCCCTTACTGGTAGGTCACTGAAATGGAAACTCCGGTTCCTTGCTTCGTCTCGGCTTCCGAGGTAGCACCACGTGGCCGTCACTCTCGCGCCTGCGCTCGGCGCTGGAGAGCTAGACTTGGACGAAAAGGGGTACTCACAAGTCTATAAGCTTGTCGTGCGATGCGAGCGCGAAGAGCAGCACAAAAAGCCACGCACACATCTTGCGTCGGAGTGAGATGCTTGCAGGATTTCTGGGACAGTAGCACACGAGCATGTCATCAAGATCCCAGAGAGACAGCTCATGGCCAGAGCACCCTGTCAGCCCAGCACGGAACCGTCATTTCAGCCCCTTCAAGCTGGGCGCGTTGATATCTGCTTTGCTCTGGTGATGGCCAAGAGCTCCTTCCTGGACGAGCTGCCGGGACCCCGGCTCTTGCTTCGAGCCTTCTCCTCACGCTTTGAGCGTCTCTTTGAGGTCCACCGGCCCGGTGTTGGGCGGCGGGGCTCGCCTGGCGCTCGGCCGTTTTGGTTCCTTTTTGTTGTGGGCTTTTTTGGTTTCTGGCTCCGACAGGACCGGTGATGTGCTATCCCGACCCCCATTCCCTGGGGGGGCCCAACGGCGGCATCCCCTTCCGCCGCGGGCACAGCCTCTGCAGCTGCCTTTTTTTCGGGACCCGACCCTGCTCAGCCTTGGATTTTTCAGGATGCTATGGCATGGCCGGGGACCNNGGTAACGCCACGCGAAACGACCCGCGCGATAGCACGAGCGGTTTTTAAAGGCAACATTGCAGTTTTACCGTGGTAGAACGCTGATTTCTGGATTATCAGTTCTTGTTCTGGGGAGACATCCTCGCGCAACCTCGAAAGTTTTCGGGGCCTGCTTTCGTCATTGCTTTATCTCTGAAACCAGTATTTTGGGTGGTTTTCCCACAGCAAAAGCAGGATTTTGCGTTTGATGGCTTGATTGTCCGGCAACACGTCTTTAAAAGCTTTCCTGAGAAAATGGCCTTTTCGGATTTCTGGTGGGGAGGTGTCGGGTTTCGGGGCTTCGGTGTTGCCAAGCCTTTGTAGTCTTGAGGGGCGTTAGGGCAAAATTGTGGTATCACTGGAAAAAATATGTTTTCTGTTTTATCAGTTATTGTTTTGGGAGACAGCCGTGCGCGACCTCTACACTTGTCGACTCATTCTTTCGTCATTGTTTCATGGTTGGAAGTCGTGCTTTTCGTGATTTTTCCGATGCGAAAGCAATGTCATGGAGTCATGGGATGTCGGGTTGAAACTTTGAACAGGAAGGTTTTGGGGTTTGCACTCGGTAGGGCACGGGATGCTGGTGTAACGCTTCTAGCTGGAGGGTTTTGGGTTTGCTTGGTTGAGATTTTTGCATGGATGCTCTGCATAAACGGATGGGGTCGGGGTGGACGTTATTACGGTTCCGGCATGGATGCTCTGCGTGAACGGATTCCGATGGGGTCGGGGTGGACTTTATTACGGTTCCGGCATGGATGCTGTGCGTGAACGGATGGGGTCGGGGTGGACGTTATCACGGTTCCGGCATGGATGCTCTGCGTGAACGGGTGGGGTCCGGGTTGGACGATATATACTGCGGTTCCGGCATGGATGCTCTGCATAAACGGATGGGGTCGGGGTGG